TTTCCAGGCAGCCATTGTACATCTTTTGGCAAGTGCCTTCAAATTTCTCAGTACAATGTTTCATCCAGTCACTGAAGGCAATGCATTGTACCTTAAATTTACATGCCAAGAAAAAGACTCAGACTGAAAAGAAGACCTTCAGTATCATCTTCCTGCAATATATCAGACACTACACATGAGTCAGAAGACCCAGATCCAATTCCCAGGTGCGCAAGTGTCTTGCAGTGTGATCTCTAGTCTGCTCTTTAATCTTTCTGCACCTCAGTTTTTCCATCCTGGAAAACAGGGATTGTATTACCTGTCCCTCCTTGAATTTAGACTCTTACTGCTAGCTGAGAATATTTATGCTTCTACAACTTGTGAAACTGGGGTTTGGAAAACTCAGAAAATTAAGCACAAAATGTTTCTCACTTTTGTCAGATCTACCATGAAAAATCCACAGTTGAGCCCAGCAGAAGTCCCTAAGCAAGTAATCCCTCAGAAAGTTAGTTCTGACTTCCCACTCAACGACCACTGACACAAGAATAAGAAGTGAGAGGCCAGGCAGGACCTCAGGTGCTACATGGCTAAAAAAGCAAGTCATTGTCTATTATGTTCCCTGACAGTATTATCACCCTAGACACACTACCCTTAACACTCCATTGTGGTTTTATCTCAAGGAAGCTACCTCAATACTTAGAGCACTTACTTCTTCAATGTTTACAAAAAAACAAGCACTTTCCCTGGATGGGAAGTGCCCTGCTGGTATTGCCTTGGGATGACCCTACAGTTAAGGTAGGACAAAGGGATAACAAAAGAAGTATGAGGTGCAAAAGAATTTAAGATTTAAGGCAGTGTTTTACAATCCTTTCTGAGTTACCGGTACAATTCTGAAATACAAAACTCTGGGCAGCATTCCAAAAGAGATTATTAAAATTCAAATACTGGTTTTTAGAAAGATCAATTTGGAAACTTGAAAAACCTTTCTAATTATCCACTTTCCATTAGGTCCCCCTTTAGTCTGCGTGGCTGTCACAACAAGGAAGTTTACTGCTCGGTCTAGGCTCTCCACAAGGCCTAGTTTCCCTCTGTTCCACCAAACACTGCCTTTGGTATCTTCGAATTATTGACATTAAATTATATCTCAGCTGCAGTAAGTTTCAGCCCCCTAGCAATGTATCACATGGCCAACACTCAGCTCAACACTCAACTTGAGAGATATCACTATGAATTCACACTAAGATCCACGATATGAATCCTAAAATACATTTTATACCCTGATCAAAATGTAGCACACTCCTGTGAAGGATCAGTGTCATACAAGTTAAGAAATACTCTCTAATAATTGAATCCCACAGCTCCTGCCTCATTTAAAGGGATAACTTCGTGTATAGATAAGGCAGGCACAGAGCGTGGAAAGTAGAAACCTATGTCCAACTCCAGGTCTGCTACTTACTGTAAGACCTTGTACCTGTTTCCTTAACTGTGAAGTGATAATAATGTCTACCTTACAAGGTTATTGTGAGGATAAAAAAGCATATGTAAGCATTTTATAAACAGTGCTATTCAAATTTAAGTTGTTATTCTGCCTGTGGATTTAACTAAAGCTGAAAAAGTTCTTTTAAGAAGCTGGTTAGGGACTTCCCTGGTGGCGCAGTGGTTAAGACTGCCTGCCAATGCAGGGGACATGGGTTCAAGCTCTGGTCCGGGAAGATCCCACATGCCACGGGGCAACTAAGCCCGAGCACCGCAACTACTGAAGCCCGTACGCCTAGAGCCCGTGCTCCGCAACAAAGAGTAGCCCCCGCTCTCTGCAACTAGAGAAAGCCTGTGTGCAGCAACAAAGACCCAACACAGCCAAAAATAAATAAATTAATTAATTTAAAAAAAAGCTGGTTAACTCCAACATTAAGAATGTCACTTGTTCACATGCTTACAAAAATTTTCTGAGTCAACCTCAAGTCACTGAAAAGCATTATCTCCTTCCATTGGCTAAAAAGCAAGCAGAGTAGCACTACCCTACGAGGGGCATGGTAAGCAAGGGGAGAAATGAAGAACTGCGTATACCCACAGTGAATGGGGCAGAGATACTTTATTTCATTATTTGAACTGAAAAGTAAACATCAAAGGTCAAAGTTTTCCAACGGGTCTGAGAGGAATATATCCACGTTATGAATATTAAACACAACCTATTGCCAGTTCAGAAAGCTCAATTATCTTCAAAGTGTTTTTCACGCATTAATTAATCCTCACGGCATCCCAAGGATGAAAGAAATTTAATTTTCATATTCTAGTTATTTATAACAACAGGAAGAATCTAAATGGATCGTGATGTGCCATTTTGATAAGACAGGTCAACAAATGTTTCATCAAATGTTAAGGATCTACCATATCATCAGCACTATATAAGGCACAAAGTGTCTAACTGATGTGGCCTATTTCACATCGAGCAAGACCTCTAGCAAGCTCAACCTTATGGTACACAGCTATGCGTAAAGAAACATTTCTGAATAACGGATAACAGCAATTACAGAGCTATAACCAATCCTTATTGCCAGAAGCCGCTAATTTACTTTAAAACATTTGTAAAATTAAGATGTTTTATTGAGAACGCTTTCCTGACAAGGACTATGTGTGGTACATGAGGAAGAGGCAGAAACAGGGAGCAACAGTGTGTTGTGTTGTTTTAAATAGGATTGTCAGAGGCCTCAATAAGATGACATCTAAGTAAAGACCTGAACAAAGAGAGGAAGTAAGCCACATGCTTATGTAGGGGAAGACATTCCACCAGGCAGAGGGAACCTCTGAGTGTAAGAGTCCTAACATGGGATCATACCTGCTGCATTCTTCACACACCCACTAGACTTTCCCCATGGATGTCCTGCTGCAACCTCCACTGTGCCCCGCCAGATCTTCCTGACTTCCAGGCTCACCATACTCTCCCAGGCACACAAACCTGAAACACACTGTTAGCACTGCTCTCTTCTTTCCACAATCTGTGACCAACTCATACTGTAACATGATACTACCTTCAAAATGTTACATCTTTCTCTTCCATTCATTCCCACTAACATACCAGCCCCAAATTACAAAACATTAAGACTGCAATGGACCTTAGATATTATCAGTGAAACGCCATCTTACCGAAGCCCGTATTACCCAAGTCTCGGAAGTATCAAGCCAAAGATCTATTATTACTACATTCTTGGATTTTTTTTTGGTATGCCCCTCCCACCCACCCCCAAATTCAATTCATCAGCATACTGCTCACAAATGAACGCTTCTTACACACTGTCTTCATCGTGTTACTCATCCCCCATTCCACAATATCTACAATACCTGTTAAATAGTCTCCTTTCACTGTCCTACATGCACACTAAGTTCACTTCACCTTCTAAATCTTCATTCACATTCCTTCCTTTGATACGATGCCTTTTCTTCTTTATCTATCTAAAACTCACCTATCCTTCAAGTCCCTTTTCACAGAGCTTTCCACGACTATATCAGCTTTCACTGATTTCTCTCTTCTCAGAAATTCTATGGTTCATCATAAGATCTACCACGGTAGTCTCCCTCCTCCCCACCTCCCATCCCCACCCCTTGCAAAGCATCATCAATAACTCACTTCAAACACGTATTAACTTGCTTTGTTTCATGTTTACCTGGACTAAAACTCCTTGAAGACAGGGATTGCAGTTTTGTCTCTCCAAAAGGGCCTTGCAGAAAATAGCACCTAATCATATTTTTAGCACTTACTGTGTGCCTGATATTGTATTAAGTGCTTTACATATTTAATCTCGTTTAACCATCACATTGATATTATTCTTCCTCTTTTACAGAAGAAACAAAGACATGAAGAGGTCAGGCTGAGGTTGCATATCTTAGAAAAGGCAAGGCTGGGATTTGAGCTAAAGTCCGCCTCTCAAAGCCAGCACAAAGCAGAGGTTGTGAACAAAGGTTTGTTGAATTACCCTAATCCTCTGATGTGTGTTGATGGTCGTGTCATCCCACATGAATTAATGAGGGTGGAAACCATGCCCAGAGTTTACGGGGTACAGTGGGGAGAAGGACTGCCCCTACCTGCTGAACACCCATCAGGTGCTAGGTTCAGCACCGGGCATTTCACCGAGCATCTCATTTACACTGTGAAAACTCTTAACTTGTAATTCCTCCGTCGGAGATTTACCCCAAATGTCACCCATCCTCAATCGGAGCACAAATGCTCCCAGGTGTGATGTGCACACACTCCTTCTGGGCCTCCCTGTGGCTCCAGGAAGAGGGCAAAGCCTGCTGATTCCCATCAGCCGGTAAGTTAAAAATCTCAGCATCATAAAGCATTTGCCAAGTGCCTGGACTTTTTCAGGACAGGCCACCCTGCTCTTCTTTCTAACACTCATATTCTCACTTATTAAGCACCAGAGCCCTGTGAAGTAGGCGGCATTTTCTCCACTTCTCAGATAAATAACGTCCCCCAAAACCGACGCTGTTTAGGTCACGTGGCCGATGGCAGATGAGGGAAGAGAATCCAGGTCTCCTGACTATCCACCCTGCTTCATTCCCTCAGCAGACACTCGTAGATGGTAAATGATTTATCCTGGCGTCGCTGGGAACTCTAAATAGCAAAAGCTCTGGAATAATTTTCCTTCAAAAGGTATATATAATGGACACCTATAGGTCAACCTTATATGTTCAAATACCATCTCCACGTATTCCCTTAGTGACACAGAGATAGTCGTTTCACCTCCCTAGGTGAATTCCCTCATCGGTAAATGGAGATAATAACAGTACCTACACCAAACAGTAATATCCTGAGAAGTAAATGAGATGATGGCAGTGAAACACCTGGCACGATGTCCGGCATATAGTGGGCGCCTAGGAATTATGGGTGCCCTTTCCCGGCCCCCTCCGCCCCACAAGCCTCGGGGTTCACCCACTACCATTAAGCGACAGGGTATCCACTCAGCCAGAGGCCCACGCACGGCCTCCGGTTTACCAGGCTGGGGACAGCCGCACTGTCATACCTGCATGGAGTCAGCGCTGACGATCTCGCCACCGAGCCGCTGGCCTAGCTGTAACGCCAGCGTGGATTTGCCGGTGCCCGTGGCCCCGAGAATTACTACAAGAGGCAGTGTCCGTTTTAGGCCGCGGAGCCCAGGGCCCGCAGACACAGCTCGTGCGGCCGCCACCGCCGCCATCTTAAAGAAGTCTACGCTTGCGCAGGAGCAGCTGTCCCCATGGCAACCGTCAGTGCGCCTGCGCGGACCTCGGGCTCTGAAGGGAGGGTGCGGAGGGAGGAAGGAGGTGAGGGACCCAGGTCCCCACGCTCAGAAGCTCCTGCTGTGACTGCCGTCAGCTAGCTGCTGATGTGAGAACCTCAACTACCTCCTCTCTTAAGTGGGGCATGGCAGTCGTATCTAAAATAGATCTATCCGTATTATTCTTTCACGGCACCCAGTTCTTTTTCTTTATAGAGCTAATTACAATATGAAATTATATATTGACCTCTTGTCCATTGTCTGACTTTCTCTCCAGACTGTTAGTTCTATAAAGACAAGGAACAGATTCTGCCTAGGTCACTACTGTATCTCCAGTACAGTACCTGATAACGAACAGACACCCAATAATTGTTAGTAGAGGGGAGAATGGCTTGCATATCTAGTGCTACAGCCAGTGAGCTCAGAGGTGTGGTGTTCTCCAGGATCAGATCTACCCAGTTCTCAGGCAAGGGCGGCTGCTCTAATGTTTTCATCCAACAACTCAAACTGAGACACAATCATAAGGCAGAACAAGATTTTTCATCTATTTGGCGAAAGGATGCAAGAGATGGGGTGAAAACAGATAAAGAACAAGCAAGTAAACAACCCACAACATACAAAGAGAAAAAATAAGGAAGGCAGAAAGGATAAAATAGTAGCAACCCTCAGATTAAAGTGGGGGTGGGGAAAACTAGGTCCAGAGAGGACCAAAATTCTGGGGACTACACAACCTTTAAGAAAGGGCTATGGGAGATTTCCCCGGCGGTCCAGTGTGTAAGACTCCGCGCTTCCACTGCAGGGGGCATGGGTTGGATCCCTGGTTGGGGAACTAAGATCCTGCATGTGGTGTGTGGCCAAAAAAAAAAGAAAAGAAAAAAAAGAACTTTGGAACCAGATGAACATGGGTTCAAATCCCCACTCTGCCACTTTCAGCTGAGTGACTTCACACAATTCGCTTAGCCTCAGTTTTCTCATCCTTAAGTACCTCTCAGGACTGCCATAAGGAGAAAATGGAAGTAATGCCTGAAAGGTGCCTGCTACCATGCCCTGGCACATAATCACCACCATTTGTTAAACATTTTGTATTATAATAGTAACACCCCATCTGCCTTACTAAAGAGGTTAGAGCAGCAGCCTAAGGGCAGAGGAATTTTCAGTAATGTGTGAAAGTGCCTAAATACCTATTCTACTAACCCTTTGTTAGCCAGTTTAAGAGTCTTAATTGCTTTCTGCCTGAGATTACTACCTGGCTCTGCCTAGCTCACAGGTCATATCACCGTTGGGTCAGAGGAATCACCCCTGGATGGTTAGAGAATATGATAGGCCTGCCCTGAATGACTGCCAATAAATACATTTCTCAATCACTTGGATCACCCCTGGCATAATGGCCATTCTTGCAGACCCAGCCTAAACCTTGTAGTCTCATGTATCCCAGGGTCCTTGTACCTCCTTTTCTCAATCCAGCCAGCTTTGATCAAAAGCCTAGTTCTCTCCAATTTGTGGTACCCGCCTGGGGCTGGTTTTAAAATCAAGATGTGTGGCCACATATTGGCAGACACTCTCACATGATGGTTGTTAACTGTAGAGCCTTTGCCTGCAGATTTTCCGAGGGTACGGTTACCTTGACAACAAGCAGAAAGAAGGCAGGCCGGAGAAATGATGCAAATAAAGCAAAAGGGAGGCTAATTTCATGATGACAATCTGACCATGACAGAGGAGGCTCACTCACAGATGGGAAAGTACTGTCCAAGTCATGACCAGGTGACTGTTATGAGAGAGAGAGAGAGAGAGAGAGAAGGGGGGTGGTGGTGGTGGAATTTACCACTGAGAGACCAGAAGAGGGAGAGGCTGGTTACCAAGGCAACTGGGGAGCAAGGAATGAAAAAATGGGGCTTCACCACAGCCGCAGAAAATTGCTTCTAGCCAAGCAACACAGGACTGTTGCTATAGAAACAAAGAGAACAGGGATCCTGTAGACCATGGGGAGAATTATCACTGAAATACTGAGCAGGAAAGATTCCTAAATCAGAATGGAGCCTGTGGCCCAAAACAAATGAGGAGAAGTGAGAAAAAAAACATCATACCATTTCCATTCATTGTAATTCTGCCAACCCCACCAAAGGAGAATGGGAACATATTTTTTAATACCTTTAGGCTATTTTATTTGTACCTGTCTCCCTAATGATCTTCTGAACTCTAAATTACACTAAGAATAGTTCCTGAAAGATAATCTGTAACTTGAAATCCTAATTAGAGAGATTAAGTTCAAGGGAAAATTGGGAAATTGAAGTCTATGATCAAGAGTTAATAAGTATTTACAAAAAACAACATAAAACCCTCTAATGGGCAGCTTTGCAGGGTAATAAGGAGACAAAAGGCGGCAAAAGGGAGTCAGAAAAGCTATTTGTGGTCATGCCCAGGTATTAGCCCTGACCCCTCTCTGCCTTGTATGAGGCCAGATGGGAAATAGCTTATTCTGAAAGATAGCTCAACAGGAAAGGGAGTCTCTCATTCAAAGTGTATGTGTATATCTAGAGGTGAGGATGCAGAAGCCCATCTCAACACACTCCACTGCTTACAGATTATTTGGGGTTAAAAAAAATCTAGTTTACAAGGCAAAAATGCTGGGATACGTTCAGTCTGGAAGAGGATGTCTAAAATGCAGGAATGAGGTACTAGGGAGACTCAAATTACTTGGAGGGTAATAATTCTTGCCTGCCCTCCTGAAAGTCCACAGTCAGCCACCTAATTGTTACCGCTGGTGTGGGTGTGCTGTACCCTAGGGCAGATGGGTAGTCAGGATGGGCAACCTCTAGGTTGCCTCACATTCTTTAGGAAATTGAGAGCAGTCTATGGGGTGGAATGGGCATGGGAACATGGCAGAAAAGGAGAAAGGAAGAAGTGCAGAAAGTTAGAGGGGAAATCTAGGTGATGACCCAATTAAAAAAATTTTTACAAAAAGAAAGAAATATAGGGAGAAGGTAAAGGTGAAGCCATTAAGAGTGGAAGGGTCATTCAAAATGGATCATCCAGGAAGTTTGAACTTTTTGGAATTCTACAGGATGCTGCAACATGGAAAGGAGGAGGTATATGCCATGGAAGGCCTGAAGCATCTGTTCCCAAGGTAAGAGAAGAAAGTTGGGTCAAAGATAAACACTAGCTTTTTGGTACAATCCAAAGTGCTGAGAATTCCCTGGCAGTACAGTGGTTGGGACTCTGTGCTTCCACTGCTGGGGTCCCGGGTTCAATCCCTCATCAGGGAACTAAGATACTGCAAGCCGCACAGCCAAAAAAAAATTATTTTTAAATTACAAATTAAGGGCTTCCCTGGTGGCACAGTGGTTGAGAGTCCGCCTGCCGATGCAGGGGACATGGGTTTGTGCCCCGGTCCGGGAGGATCCCACATGCCGCGGGAGCAGCTGGGCCCGTGAGCCATGGCCGCTGAGCCTGCGTGTCTGGAGCCTGTGCTCCGCAACGGGAAAGGCCACAGCAGTGAGAGGGCCGCGTACCGCAAAAAAAAAAAAAATCACAAATTAAAACAAAAAAGCAAAGCGCCTTTGCAGCCTGACCCCCATCCTAATTAGACACCCCAAATAAAAAATGTTTCATGCAGGAATATTTCATGATGAACATGGTGCCTGTATTTTTTTCCTAGGAGTACCATAACAAATTACCACAGACTGGGTGGCTTAAAAAACAGAAATGTATTCTCTCACAGTTCTGGAGTCTAGAAGCCCAAAATCAGTGCATTGGTAGGGCCACACTCCCATGCTTCCCCTCTAGGGGAGAATCCTTCCCTGCCTCTTCTAGCTTCTGGTGGTTGCTGGGAATCCTTGACATTCCTTGGTTTGTGGCAGAATGACTCCAATCCTGCCTATCTCACATGACCATCTTCTCTGTTGTACGTGTGTCTCTGTCCGAGAATTTCCCTCTCTCTCTCTTTTTTTTTTAAATAAACTTATTTATTTATTTGTTTGTTTCTTTAATTTTTGGCTGTGTTGGGTCATCGTTGCTGCATGCGGGCTTTCTCTAGTTGCAGCGAGCGGGGGCTACTCTTTGTTGCAGTGCGCAGGCTTCTCATTGCGGTGGCTTCTCTTGTTGCGAAGCATGGGCTCTAGGCACGCAGGCTTCAGTAGTTGTGGCACGTGGGCTCAGTAGTTGTGGTGCACGGGCTTAGTTGCTCTGCGGCATGTGGGATCTTCCCAGGCCAGGGCTCAAACCCGTGTTCCTTGCACTGGCAGGTGGATTCTTAACCACTGCACCACCAGGGAAGCCCGAGAATTTCCCTCTCTTAAGGACACCAGTCACTGGATTAGAGCCCACCCTAATCCAGTATGACCTCATCTTAACTTGATTATATCTGCAAAGACCGTATTTCCAAATAAGGTCACATTCACAGTTTCTGGATAGTCATGAATTTAGTGGGGGACAATATACAACCCAGTACAGTGCCTGTGAGTAATCACAACACCTTCTATTGGTCTGGTGAATGGCTGTTTCCATTACTGTTGCCATTGGTGATTGGCCAATTCAAATCTAGGAGCATCGGAATGGCTCAAAACAAGTGAGGGGAAGAAGAGAGTAGAGCTCACCATAAACCATGGAGTTACCACGGTTTCTGTAACTCCTAAAGTTGAGTTATAGAGTTTGCTCCAGAGCACACCAGAATGTTCTCAAAGAGAGCTCACTTCCTGCCTTCTCAGATCTCCAAGACAGCCTACACACGCACAGGGATCCCCGAAGGCTGCAAAATCAGAGTGGGGAGGTGCAAAAGGGGAAAAGATGCAGAGCCATCAGAGGTCCTTTCCGGTTCTAATCTCATGGCTCCTTCAATCCCTCTCCTCTACTTCTCTGGCCCTTTCTCTTTCTTGTGGCTTTGGCACTGTGGGCCTTCATCATCTTCATATATTGATGAGTCTCAAATCTGTATCTTCATTTCAACCCCCTT